TTGCTAATAATATGTAAACTGAAGTACTTAGTCTAACTAACCGTGGGTTCCTAAGACCAAATTTTTTAATATACAGTGATAACAATATGTTTTAAACGGATATTTCGGACTCAGAAACCCACGGTTAGTATAATATAATTTAAACCAGCAGTTTACCAATCGATTTAAAGTAAAGTGATAGAATGTTTTTAATAATAACTGGTATTAGTCATTTAGTTCTAAAGCAATTTGTTTAAATATGTATCCGGTTTACGGTGATAAACGGTTCTTTTTGTTAATTTTTTAACAATGGGTACGTATGCCTACTCTTTAAATCTATGGACGACATGCAACCCTAGTCTATGATTAAAAATCCTCTACCAAGGACAGTTCAGTGTATGAATCTAAAACTACACCTACAGTTTTCTTCGACAAGTTTCTTGATTTATAGTTATTTTCTAATCAAATAGAAATTGTCGAATTATCATAATTTAAGGTTTTAAGAAATTGTGAAAATGATTTGATTGTTGTTCATTAAAACAACACAGTTTGGCGATGAATAAATGATAATGCTGTTTAAATGTATGGAGTCTGTCGAGCAAATATCAATGCAATATGTATGTATGGTGCAGGTCCGCGCTGCAGACTCTGCACCGCGCGAGCGGGCGTGCGCGCGAGCTGAACCACTTCGCGGGCGGCGCGTCGCACGCGTGGTGCGCGTACTACGAGACGCGCGTCGACTCCGACCGCTCATGCCTCAACGAGTGGCACGCCATGGACTGCCTCGAGTCGCGCCGCCCGCCCTCCCCAGACTCACTCAGGCACAAGTCAGTTAAACATTACTTTCGACATAATAATTATGATACAATGATAACAGTTTTATCTTGTATTTGGCGACTCTGGACATCACAAGAGTCTACCGCAGTCCACAATTTTAGCTGTAGCGTAAAGGGATGTATTGACCTTGCGACGTTTTGAAGCAAATTCTTTATTTTGAGTATGCAATTAGAGGATTTAACCTATCTCTCGTTTATATGAATAGTATACTATAAACCAGCAACACATAGTATGTGCGCAAAAAGCTTGGCTGACAGCCAATATACTAATTTAATCAAGAGCTCACGTCACAGTTCGAAGTTGCAACACTCATATTTACTAAACAAATAGTATAGCTATAGCCATATCCGTATAAATTTAAAAAAAATATATAATATATAAAAAAATATGTATGTATATTAAACACCATAGCTCGTAAACTTTTCAGTTAAACTGTTGATTAAGTGCAGTGGTACTTTGCTTTGAGATATTGTAAGGATTTATGACATGACGCTTACAAATGCAAAGCTAATCGCTAATGTATTATTCAAGACAATCTAGGGCGCGATTTTACTGCTCTGTGCCAACCGTCAATCGATGCCTACTATTTATAAAATGGTAACACTTTGATTGGCTTTTATTTATGAAAATTAAAATAATAATGATTGTTTCGTTATTATCGATCTGTTTCTTAGATTTGATTGATGTTAGAAATGTATTCGTAACTTTCTATGGTAGTCCCTTTCTATAAGCACATGAACATAGACCTTACATTCTATGTTTTAGAACCTTAGTTTTAAAAGCAAGTTTGCACCCCAGTAATGGATATATTTTGAAATACTACAAGGGAAAAGGTGTGGTTTTATAAATGAACAAGGGGCTTTACTGAGCTTAAATTGTTTGTACAACAAATGTTTACATTGTGCATAAACAATTGGTACTTGGAAGTGTTTTAACGTGAATTAATTAAAACAATGAGCAGCTCCGGTGGAAACTATAATGGGCTCTGTTGGAGAGTTGTGCGTTACCTAGACCTCGTTTCTTAACCTTTACAACAATCCGACATCAGTAAAGCTGCTCAAATTTACCAGCGTGTAAAGTGGAACAAATAATTATTACATTTTATGCTCATTAGCATTTAATTGCGTCACGGAGCGCGCGGATAGTTGCTACACATTTTCGGTGTCATTGTTAAGGTCCACTACTGTTTATTTACTTCATTGTAGAATGATACTATTAAGATTCACAAACACAATAGTATATTAATTACATAGACAATATAAAAATAATTCGTTGATGTTTGAATTGTTATGACTTTGTTGCAATATCACGATAAACTTGTTACTTAAACTTTAAAAAAAAATAAACCCAACTAATGTTTCACATTGTAATCTACTGAATCTTGCATTACAGGCCGAGAGAAAGAGACGAAACTGAGCGTGTGATTCGTTGCACGTTAAAAGAGATAATGATGAGCGTGGACCTGGACGAGGTGACGAGCAAGGCCATCCGCGGCCGGCTGGAGGACGAACTGGACATGGATCTGGCCGAGTACAAGTCCTTCATCGACCAGGAGATGCTCACCATCCTCGGCCAAATGGACGCACCCACGGAGATCTTCGACCACGTCTACCTCGGCTCCGAGTGGAACGCCAGCAACCTCGAGGAGCTGCAGAGAAACGGGTACGATGCCACACTATATTACATGCTTTGTGGTAGTGCATATGGCACATTTATTATTAATTTTAGGACAATAATAATGGTGACAATTTTTGATTTCAGGGTTAGACATATATTGAATGTGACAAGAGAGATAGATAATTTTTTTCCCGGTATGTTCGATTACCTAAACATTAGAGTGTACGACGACGATAAGACTGATCTATTGAAACACTGGGACAACACATTCAAATATATAAACAAGGCGAGGAATGAGGGCTCCAAAGTTCTGGTGCATTGCAAGATGGGCATCAGCAGGTCCGCCTCCGTCGTCATCGCTTACGCAATGAAAGCGTTCAATTGGAACTTCGACAAGGCCTTGAAACACGTCAAAGCGAAAAGGAATTGTATCAAACCGAACACTAATTTTCTCAGTCAGCTCGAAACTTACCAAGGTATACTCGATGCGATGAAGAACAAGGAAAAGTTGCAGAGGTCTAAGTCGGAAACCAATTTGAAATCTCCTAAAACCGCTTCGAAAACGGAAAGTAAGATAACGGACCCCACGCCTTTAATATTAGCTTTAACCGGATCTTACTCGGGGCGGCCGCGCTCCTGGTCGCCCGACACCAAGCTCGCCTCCGAGCTGCTGCCGCCCACCTCCGTCTCCCTGGAGAACCTGGCCGCGGAGACGCGCCACATGCTCATGCCCTGCGCTCACGGCAGCTACAGCGTCTCGCCCAACCAGATCATCCGCCTTAAGGAGGAGAAGGAGGAGAGCGGCCTCTCCGTCAAGCACATCGTTAACGAAATTGAAAATGCATCCTCGGGCGATCGCCGCGACCTCGGCCGAAGACATCAGAGGCTAAACTTCGGAAACCACACCGACGTGTCGAGCAGCAGATCGTCGGAGGGTTCGATCGGGCTGTCGGCTCAGGTCCCTGATGCGCCGACCAAACAGTCGCAGGTCTCACCTTCGCGGCATCTAGGTCACAAGTATACTTACTCGGAGGCGGAGGCCGACAAGATACACACGTGGGATCCCGGGGAGGCTCCGTGGTCCAGAGGTGACGAAATTCGAAACGGGAACGATAGTGATAATATAGTGAAAAGTGACAGCGGTATAATAGACGTTAAAATTAAAACGAGTGACGCTTATGTTAATTGTATAGATCGTAATATAGAGTGTGACGATAGAAGAACGATGGAGGAGGACGCCCCGCCGCCCAGCAGGCACAGCTCCTGGAGCTCCTTCGACAGCGCCGTCGTGCCGGACCTCTCGCGGCACTCCTCGTGGGGCTCCTACGACACCAGGACGGCGCGACCCCAGGTCGTCATTCGCGACGACTCCGCCAAGAGGGTCAAGGACAGGGCCGACGAGCGAAGCGAGAGGAGCGCGGAGCCCGCGCCGGCGGCCAAGCAGCCGTCCGACCTCGGCATCATCACCGAACACAGCGAGCCCAAAGTCGCGCGGCGCGTCGACATCTCCGCGAACGAGAAAAAGTTCAATGAAACGTGTGCCATACTGAAGGAGCTGGCGAGCGCGGCGGCGCGCATGGAGCGCGCTCGCGACCGCGGCGCCTCCACCTGGGGCGGCCGGCTGTCCGCCTCCGCGCCCGCCGACACCTGGCTGCGCGCCGGCCCGCGCCGCCGCCGCCTCGCCGCCGTGTCGCACCCCGACCTGCCGCGCGCCGCCCCCGCACCTAGCCCCGCTCATCCCGCCCAGCCACCCGCCGCGCCCGGCCTCGTCAGCAACCTTAAGAAGGAGTTCGAGGCGCGGTCGGAGGGCGAGGGCGCGCGACGCGGAGGGTCGCGCAACCGCACCGGCGCCTCGCCGCCGCTGGGCGAGGACCTGTCGGTGCGGGTGCTGGTGGGGCGGTACGACCGGCCGGGCCGCGTGCGCAGCGAGTCCGGCGGCGAGGCGGCGCGGCGGCCGCCCGAGGCGCAGAAGGCGCGCGCGGCGGATGGAGGGCGCGGGGTGCGCAACTCGTTCTGCGGCGGCGAGCGGCCGGCGCCCGCGATGCCGCCCCCCGCGGCCCCGGCGCCCGTCGTGCTGTCGCTGGCGCCGGTCGACTACTCCAATGTGGTGGTCTCTACTGTGATGTCGAAAGCTCAAAACAAAAAACAATTGCAACATGGGAAAACCCATCCGTTGACGAGGCTCAACTTGAACCGGTCGAGTAATAGATGTTCAAATCCTGTGTATAATACTATGTAGTAGGAATATTACGTTTTTATTTATTATGGAATTCTTGCCAAACTCGATATTTTATCTTTCTAGAGTTTTATATACTATTTACAAAATGAATTCACAGTGTATTTGTCTATCACCTCAAATGTATTAAACGGCTGTTTGTGCGTAGAGAAAAGTTGAAAGAGAGAATAAATTCGATACAACAGATGTACAAGTTTTAAGTTTGTGTGTGTTTTTTTTTATTACATCATAGAGTCTAGTATCGGGTGTGACGCATGACTCCCTGGGGTGCGACGAGAGGTTTTCGTGGAAATGGTACCCATTGCAATATGATAAGGTAAAATAATAGACATCTAATACAAAATGTATTTTGTATTAACTTAGCCAAAATCTACAATCTGAAGTTTTTTCCCGCTTACAAACGCCACGCGCGGCACTGTATGCAGCTCATTTACTCTTTTGTAAGTGTCTGGCACTTTTTTTATCTTCCTTCGAACTGTTCCAAAGTCAAATGCATATATGGCGCCAGGATTGTATCTGATTGAACATTCCGTCTGAAAAATACACACGTGTTTTGTTACATTATGATAACAGCAATCATAACAAATAGGTGCTATGAAAAATGGTGGGAAAAATTATTTTTACAAGATAATCAAATTTTGGAATAAATGTCATAGTTATATGAACATACCAATTTTAAATTGTAATCCACAACACGAAGCATATTCCCGTCGGAACCACCGCATACAATCAAATTAGTGTTAGGCACGAACTTGCCGCAATATAGCTTGGATGGATGACTGTCTGGTACAATAGTGTCGATCAGTTTGCAAGACCCGTAGTCCCATATTTGAATTGTGTCATTGTCTTGCCACGAACACGTTAAAATCTGCAGCAACAAGATTCATAGACATAAATAAAATAATGAAACTTAACCAACTATGACATATATAAATAATGGGTTACGTTGACGCTTTAGGCACGTAGTATTTAAAACACAAAAATCAAAAACATATAATCAAGAGTAGCACAATCTACCTGTTTACCCGGCTTATCAAAGTCCAATCCTTCACCGCATATGTGAACTCCAACAAAGTATCGAGTTGCAAAGGGCTGGCGAGCGTCCCAGCAAATGACGACGTCATCCCAACCGCCCGATACCAGCTCGTGGTTCGATCGCGGATTGAAAGTGCATGCGAATATTCTCGACTGATGACCGTCTATCGTACCTCTTTTACCACTGTAATATATTTGTAACAACTACTTAAGATAATTTTTCTACAATTTGTTCAGTACAGAGCGAAAATGACAAACCGAATGGTGTAGCCTCCGACTCGAAGGACCATTACCGAGGAGCATGTACGTCTATTTTTTTTTAAATAAGTACAGAGTGAATACAATTTTACTTACAATATAAAAGGACGAAAAATAATTAAGCTTAGTTATAATTAACCTGGAATGAAAGGCTCTTTCTTGCGTCTGCGTTTCATCATCGTACATGTTCAATATAGCGTCGTCTCCGTACGTAACGAACTTGGAGTGGCGAGGATGGTAGCAGAGTCCTAATGTTTGTCGTTTCTCTCTTATTGTGTATAGACATTGGTGATAATTGTACTTCCAACATTTTACATAGCCGTTGACATCTAAAACGAGTTCGATAACCTTTTAAGCCAAACTTAAATTTCTATAAGCTTCATTTTAGGGTCAAAACAGCGGTTTGAGTACATGATTTTAAGAGTTACGGTAAAAATTCTATAGAAATTAATGATAGGTGAAGTTAAAGCGTCTGTGCATCTGAATTACTATCTGCTCTAGTTGCTACGTGGTCATTTAGGGTTGTCTTTACTGTAGATTTAATATGAAGTCTAGTTTAAACTAAAGTTGTATGACTTACACGAAGTCAAGAGCGTGTTGGTGACGGGATGCGATTTGCTGACGGGGCGGTGCTTGATGCCGGTGACTGGGCCAGGGTAGGTGCGACACTCGTCGTCCACCAGCGTGTGCGAGCAGTTACCGTTGTTGCAATCGAAAAGCCTCACCGTGCCGTCAGAGAAACCCAGCGCGATATCATTTACATCCTCGGTATATTTACAACACATTATATCCTTATTTGTGTTTCTATAATTAATTGTTTAGATACATAATAGTTTTTTAAAGAGATCATGTTTTGTTTAAATTATTTGGTAGTGCCAAGTCACGGTCAGGGTCTGCCGGAGCGGATATTTTAATCCGGTTAGAAATAGGTAGATGGTAATGGTAATATGTGATTCATTGATAATAATAAAAGATATAAAAGTAAAAACCAAGTACATAAACATATCTTTAAAAATTAGATGGTAGTTTACAATGGTGTTAAATAGATGGCGTTGTATCATTATTTATTTTTCAGTGAGAAGTTAATTCGGAAAACTTTGGTCATGTAGGAGGATGGCTTAAAGAATTGAGAAGAAGAGGCGAGAATTGTGTATGGCTTATCATATCATTGGACATGTTGAAATAATCAGTATAGAAAATTGGCACCGAAGACTGACTATGTGGGTACAAGAAAACGAGGGTTGCCAAATTTTGTGCTTAGTAATTCCCTTTTGCAGCTCCATCTTATCAGAACTGAAGTAGGTAAGTAAACCAATTACTTCCGTAATACTTATATTTAAAGCAACAATAGTTGAAAAAGTATAAAGGTTAACATACATGATAGATAAAAGGTTAACGTCTCCTTGGTAAAGTTGACATTGATCGGCATGATACGACCGGTGTTCTACGTTGGGCGTGCTCGTGTGCACGGTGAGGATTTCACCTTTTTTGTCTTCACGTCGTACAAATGCATTTGTTACGGCGAAACTTTTCCTAGCTGATTTCAAACTGGAAGGCGCTACAGGACCAGCCGGTATTTTTCTTTGAGGATCCATCAAATATGGTAAAATGATTTTGAATTTCCGTCATGACGTTAATTATCCATTAAATGGTTTGCCTTTTGAATGATTGACATCGCCGAAACTGGATATCGCATTGATGTGTGACATTTGCATTAAAAATTTACATGTGTCATAACGGGTTTGTTGATTGAAATAATGCGACAAGTTTCTTTGAACCGGTAAGAGAGGCGCTTTTGTCGTGGTTAGTTCTGTAAGAAAACGAGTAAATCCTACATGCATATAAAAGGATATAAAAATAACATGACAATACAGTTACAGTACGACAAGGACCTTGATGAGGGGCGCTAGTGAGCTATCAAAATATAGCTTGACTTATGCCCATCGGGTCTGTTACACCCACCGGGTCAGATACTGTGTCGGTTCATACAGTATGTAATCTCGAAACCTGTAATTAATTAGGGACGCAGAGTGCGCTTTTAGAAAGTTTTAAATAGGTATTAGATCTATAACGGCGTTACCGAATGTATTTTTAAATTTGTGGTCACGGCTTTACTTGTTTCATTAATTAGTTGAAGATTTGTTTTTAATTACAAAAGTTGCGCAAAACACAAAGTAGTTGATACCTGAAATCGATTTTTTTACACATTTACTAAAAAAAACTATAAGTTGCAATGAGTCAAAGGTTTTCGTAAACTAGCACATTGTCGGTTTTAAAAGATACAATGCAGCGTGGGCGAAGTGTAATACAGATGCGTCATCTGCTCATCGGTTACAAAAGCGAAGAACAAAAATACCACAACGGCTGCTAAATGCAGATGTTTCTTTTTTCAATTTTGGTCAAACAGGGGCGTTTTTGAGGCGTGTGACGTCATATCCTTGCCATTATGCATCATGGGTTTGCAGGAAGGCGTCTTTTGATTTTGCAAGATTTACTCACACTAGAGTTTCGTACTTACCGAGATAAGATACAATAACTTCTTTATCACAATACTGGCAGTTTTATAAATATTATCTAATATGACGCAAGTTCAACGATAATGTAATTTTTTATTACTATAAGCGATTCTAAGATATCGAAAACTCCGCTATTAAATCTTACTTACCAATGTATGCTCTTGATCAAGGCTCTTAATACCAGACCAATTGACCAACACATTTTGATTATTAATTCAACTTTTCTATTATTTATGTTTTTCGATTGTAATATTCGATTTTTTACTAACATATCTTGTAACCATGTCAAGTATACTCTAAACTTGTGCTAAGATATGGTTTACGAAAATAGTCAAACGGCGGAATTCGAACCCCCCACCACGTGAAAATATGACCGTACTCTTAACCATTAAGCTATTGGCGCCTCAAATTAAATTAGAATTGAAATAAAGTCAGGTGTTCTTCGGCTCGAATCCAGCGACTTTACAGAATACATTCCTAGGAATAGAGTACGAGCATATTTATGTAAGCAAAAGAAAGCTTTGTTAGTCGTCGGAAATAAACTTTTTTAACTAATGCCTCAAAATATACCTAACATTTTGTATTCTAAAATGATTAATAAGATATTGTTTTTTTTTTATTTTTACAGTTATAAGACAACAAAGGTTCTAATATATTTTCATAGACTATTAAATTGAAGTTTAATATTAGTGTTTCTATAACATAGATGTATAAGTTTGAAAGGGTTATGAGGAACATTCCTTAGTAAGAAAAGAGCCAAGTGATTTCAGGTGGTATAAATAATATTTATTTATTTGAAAACAACTGCCCAACACATCACTCCACACAATTTTAGTAAGAATAAATAGACATATTTATACTCTATAAATAAATCGATATACATAATTCGCAATTTATGTATGTATGGCCCCGCAAACTAAGGGCTTTGATAGTATGGTTTTTGCGGCGATTACTTTAAAAGATAAATCGGCACAAAATTTATACTATTCGCATAAATCACATTGTATGAGGAAAATATAACATTTAAATCGGGAACAATTTATTTAACATTGAATATTGTCGAAACTCCGCATAAATAATATGATACATTTGACGAGCCTATCGATTGTGGATTATCACAGCGAAATGTTTAAAATACAAACTGTTAAAAGGAGAAGCTCTTAATAAGAAAAATTTGACGTAATTTGGCGCGAAAAATCTCATTTAACGGTTTAGGAGCGCATCGAAGCATTAATCTGTAAAATAAACGAGATTAAGTACAGAGTTAAAACATAAATAAATGTATTTTTTTAATTCGATAAAATTTATATAGAGGTTATTTGATCAATTGTTATAAGAAGAGTTTTAATAACGTGCGTGTAATAAATTTACTGTTTTCTCGATTCTATTAAAATAAAAACACACAAACTCAATATTAAAAACAAATTTGATACAATTAAATGAGCAACAAGTAACTGACACTAAGCAAATATTGAAATATACCACATCTCTAAATAATTAAACCATAATTTTTGTTATAACATTTTTAGTATTTATTTTGGTAGATAATGTTTTTATTTTGAAATAAAATAAAAATTTCAATCAATTTATTTTATAACGCTACCCAAACAAATCAGCAGGTAACTATAAGAGGTTATGATGAATGTACAAAATAATGACTAAGCGCACACACATATATTTTTTACATAAACTTATGTGCATTTTACACATTAAAATTGTCGAGAATAATTTACAATATGTTCGTATTGCACTTTGATAGACATCTTTTTTACATTGCTCTCCATTATACACAATAATATTCATTGAATGCAATTTATCTTTAAATATGGACATCTAGCATGTTACATTTTGTAACCCAATTAAAATTGACATGTCATGTTACTATAAACACTTACCATATTGGCAGATACACATTTAAAAATATATTTTAACAACATGCATGTTTAGAACTTTGAATAATAACACATATAAAGCAATTTACAAGAAAAAAAAATTTTCACACAATTTTTTTTTAAATCAACGTAAAATTCATGACATTACAGAAATAAAGCCTGCCAGGTCAGATTACGAGAAGTGGATTTATGGTATTCAGATTGTTGAATTGGATGGAAAAATGGATGGATGGTTAACTAGTGTTATGTAATTAACTGCATTCATATATATAATTATCCAAAGAGAACCGAACAATCCACATAAAAATAAGTTAATAACACAAACAAAACCAAGCGAAAACTACAAAAAGCAAGCAGAGAAAATCGATAATGTCATATTAAAATATAACATTATAAGGTCCTTAAATATTTCCACAAGAATAGGTACCTGTTGTTTTCTGAAGGCTAAAATAAAGTTAGACAAAAATTCACTAAATGCACACAGACCAAACCGGTGCAAATATAGTGATACTTTAGAAAAAAAAAACGGATTATTACATTGAAATTAAACCTTGTTTGTTACGTTAATTGATTGACTTATATTTTTCAAAACAAAATGTAAATATAGTAATCTACCAAAGTAGAGCTTCAACAATAAGAAATATGGATAACATCCCAGTATGGTATTGTAGCAACATTTACAATATTGACGCAATGTAATCTTCCAGATATTACGTAATCATCAAAGAATAATACCAAATTATGCCACAGATTAATCAACACTACCCATACAGTCTGACACTATTCATGCAACGCTACTAGTTTGAATAGTACATTGTAGACAAAACATTTTTATAAATCTATATGGTGTTGTATGTTTTCAACAATATTTACAGTCTTGTCATTTGTACAACCATCTATATCTCTGCCTTAAAATTTACATATACAATGTTTTTGCACCAGTGTGTTCTCTAACATTACATCTAGGTACCCATTCAAAGAACAATTCCCATATTTCATAGTCACAAAAATATTCTAGCCATTTATTTAGTCAAAAATAGACATTTGCCCTCAATTATAGCCATGTACATGTACCGAGGAAACATACATAATAAATTTATAATAATCAACATTATTTGTTAAACAATGATAACAATCGATAGATCTCTATGTTTATTATACAAGTATGAACTCTCAACAGTCTGTTGTAAAAACATATACCTATTAATGTACAAAAGCACAATACACTTAACCTATGATAGGTACTTACATTTCTGCTCTCTATTGAAACATGCTACAAAATCAAATGTCACCAAAAGCAAAAATGAGTCCTACTATAATAAATAGAATACTATACATATATACTCTCAATTCATGAAAACAAAAGACTTCACAATATAGCAATCTATTTTCATGAGTCAACAATGAAATTAGTAATAACTCGTTAATGATGTGATATTAATATGATTTTTGTAACAAACCATTTCAGATATTCCCAACCATCATTTTTTATTAATATTTAACTCTATAATTCTTTGTTAGTATGTTAAACACGAAATATAATTAGGAAGAAAAGAAGCACATGAACAATTATTTAACTATATTATTTACTGTCACAATCTATCTACTGTTTCAAGTGTATACCTGATTCACCAGCTATTCATTTTTGTAAAAATAAAGGACTCAAGAAAAACAACAAAACACAAGCAATTCCATAATAAATTAAATAACATGAGCGACTACCCACAGGTGTGCCATTTTCTACCGACAGAACAACCCATTTATATTTCAGATGAAGACAAATAATAATTATCTAATTCTTGCTACAATCACAGAGATTATGTGAGCTTATCAAATTAGACACTGGATCAAACTGAGTGACCTTGGGATTGGTGCCTCTGCCCCCACTGACTAGAAGGTCCCTGTGCAGAACTACCTTGTTGCATCCATGACAGGAAGTTAGGTGGACCAGGTGGAGCAGATGAAGCAGGCCCTGCAAACGCTCCTTGCTCTGAGCCTCCCGATGGGATGTTGTTTATCAGCCCCCAGCCTGCTTGGTTTAGAGCCGCAGCCACCAAGGCCTGGTTTACAGGTAGGCCCCCCATGCCTAAAGGCATGTTGCCCCCTTGAGCCTGTCCTCCACCACCAGCAACTGCAGTTTGACCATGTTGACCGGATAAACCTAATGCTTGCATATTGACCATATCCATGTTACGATTGTTCCAAGAGTTGTTGTTAGAAGCATTATGTGGGTGTCCTTCTTCATAACTTCGGTTAGGTAGGTTCCGTTGAATAGACCCACTCTTATTTTGCTTTGGTGATGCATTGGATACATTAACAGAAACACCCTTAATAATGTGATCTTGACCGCAAAGGCTTTGTGCTACTTCTGGGTCTAAAAATGTTATAAAACTGAAGGCTCTAAATGGCTTAGGAATAAAAACATCAGTTACCTCTCCAAACTGTGAGAAATATTCCCTTAAATCATTAGCTGTCAAATCTTCTGTACAACGGCCAACAAAAACTTTACAAGGCATAGATGTTACGGAGCCTTCCTTTGAATTTGGTATTCGCACATCACACCACCTGCCATCAATCATATGTCTTTGGGCTAACACTCTCATTTGAGAAGCATAAGATGCAAATCGAATGAAAGCAAAACCTTTTGACATACCGGTTTTGGGATCTCGTTTAAGCTGGGCCATCAATACTTCTCCAAATTTTTCAAAATATTCTCTCACAGTCTGCTCGGTTGCCTTCCATGGTAAGCCCAGCACTATTAGGTCAGAACACAGATTATCATTTCGTTTGTTTTTAGCGGCATCAGAAATTTCCCCCGGTTTCCGTTTATTTTCTTTCGGGAAGCTACAAACGTACAAGAGATTACCCCATCCTTCAGGAGGAGGGTAAAGTCTGCCGTCTCTTAGCCTAATACCTCTTATATTCTTGGTGTCAGGATTACGATATTTTAGTCCGCAACATCCAGGAAACTGCGCAGACACTGTTGTTAACATCAATGTTCCATCCTCTTCGATAGGAAGTTCTATGGGTTCTTCATTTTCGTCTTCGGCTACAGGTAGGTATTCGAATGACATTATTTCTTAATCATGAACGATATTAAATAAAAAAGGATAAAAATCAACACGGTAATTACACTTAATACTATAAAAATGTACAACTTCTACTTCTTAAAAATAAAAAAATTGTTTAAACGTCAGCCACGGGTTAGGAACCCATTGCAATTTGCTAGTTAAAAACATAGTGTGAAAGACACATTTTGGTACTTGATTAGCATGGCACTTTGTGATTTAACGCTTTATTTCTGAAAATTAAGCAAAAATAATCAACTGTATTTTTTGTAGAAACCAATCCACGGTTTCCAAAAATAACCACCAATTATAATTGTATGTTATGAAAATAATATGTTTTTGTTCAGTTTACACTGAAAACTATGTAGTTAGAAGAAGGAGAGTTACGGTCGTATGAATTGTTTTCATGAAGTTAAGATTATATGTATTTTTAATGTACCGGACTATATAAACAGTATAATATATTTATACGTAATATATGAAATTATATTCATGAAACGATTATTAGTGTAAACGATCTCTTCGGTTAATGTAGAAACATCATACGCTTTGATCAATAGGTTCTGTTTAATTTAGTAAAGCAGGTATTTTCTGAATTTCAGTAACTTTATATCTCATGATTTTATTTAAATCTTACTAAAGTTATGAAGTCGACTATACTTTATGGATCTCGCTGAAATTTGGCATAATGATTAACTATTTTGTTTGTTTTTATATAGATACATTTTGTTTGGCATAGATGTAAAACTTAACCTGGAAGAACACTTAGGCTCCTAATTAAGTATTTTTTAAATTCTGCGCGGACGGCGTCGCGGGCGACGGCTAGTGCAGATATAAATGTTAGTAAAATATCAAACTGTATTAATCGCGCTAAACAATAGACAATTTTACTTTCTAAAATTGACAAACTACCAACAGAGTTACCAAATAAAAATAATAAACATTCGTTACATTAATAAGCCATAATAGATGGTATGGAATTTTGTGATGTAATGATGTTTTACGTAATAGTCATGAGTGCAGTAAAATGTATATAAAAAGCTTTAAAAAAAAAGGAAACCGGATTCTTTGTCTACTGTATAATACAAAAGAAATACAAATCGAAGAAGAATAAATAGTCTATGCGTACAGTTTTTTTACCCACTATAAAAGTAAGAACTCTTACGTTCTTATCATTATTAATTATAGTTTTCTTTTACATTCGTTAGGTACGAGTTTTACGTGTTAATGTAATGCGAGCGCTAAGCGTGACGTTGCAAAATTCGGTGGTTTATTTCAAACATATTTGTAACATTTATTTTTATTAATGCATAAAAAATATAAATGATTTTAATTGTACTTTTTGATAAATTATTTGGATATTTAAATTTCATTTTCATCCAAAAAAAATAACACAAAACTCTTGACAATAAACGAAATTCTGACATCTGTGTTTTTCTAGATAAATCTGTAAGTTATTATTGTATCTGTGTCACAATACAAACGTTATATTATTCGATGTTGATTCGATGCATTGTTTTCATTGTAAAATTTTGATTATTAGATTATCGTACACATTTTAAGGTGAAGAGTTTTTTGCCATTTAACAATATACATTAACCAAAGTTTTGATATAATTGCTTTTTTGTTCAACTAATAATTGCAACATAACCTTTATACTGTCAATAGTCAAATTATAAGTTTTTTTTTAAAGTAAAACATTAACTAATTAAATGTAGTCCGACCCTTTTAAATTAAATAGCATGCGTTTATTTTAAATAACGTAAATTACACAATACTACTATGGATGATGACTGTAAAGATTACAGGAAAAGCAAACCACAACAAAAAATTTACAAACCTGGCAGTGGGCCTTTGAGACGATCAAGGCATGGCTTGGACTGCAAAATGGAATCTTACGAAATAGATAATACTTACAAGGGAAAAGAACCGAACCGTTATGGATCCCAAAATTCCGTTAATGGCGATGAATTAAGATGTAGACCGCAATCATCTAATCCTCGAAATAAAAAACCTGAACAGCAATTGTATGTGCCAAGATCCGCCGACTCATTTGGAGATGCTGATAGACATTCCAAGGGTTCCTTACGGTGTGATAATTCTAGTCAGTACAATAACAGAAGAATGTCAAACAATCAAGAAAACAAGATAGCTTCATGTAATGCTTCTGTACCATTTAAGGCTGCTCTGGGTAGGGATAAGTCTGTTACAGATTACTATCATAATGATAGAACCAGTAATGATATTAATTCCAACAAACAGAGTAGGCATGGCTCTGAATCTAGATCATCTTCACCTGCTCACCATTTACAAGATCAAAATGCTGTAGATAGAAATCGTGATAGCAGGAGTATGGAAACATGGGCAGGTAGACACAAATCTGGTTCTGGTGGAAAACCACCCTCAGGTCGCAGAAATTCTGCTGGTTATCCAACAGACTTGCATAGGCCTAAGCATATCAATTTGGATAATATTCCACCGAGATTTAGAAAGAAATTTTTGGAACAAGCTGGTCACCAAAATTATGAAAGCGGAGACCAACTACACAGAGATGGACATTCATCTTCAGTTCAATCCATAAACAACCCAAATCAGTTTCATACAACAAATGCAAATTGGTCCCAAACTTTACCATCAAGAGGTAGGGGTCGTTTAAGGGACAATGAGCATTTTGATAGGGAAAAATTCCTCAACTCATATTTGAAAAATCATGATGTACATAATTCAAGAAGATCTACACCCAGCAGTTCTTACATGAATTTATATGAACCAAATGTAGTTGATAATAGTAATATTATTGCAAAATCAGATGAAGTAATTAGCAAGCAAGATCAGCATGAATCTTATGATAGTGGTGAGTTTTTAATGTTCTTTATTTCAGACCAGTATAGTAAAAATATTATTGTTACCCTAGAGATATTAAAAATAATATAAATGGTTACATTTAAGGTTGTTAAAAAACTACTACATTTAGGCCAGTTTATGTAAAACGTTAGACTTATGTGTAAAGACTATGAATAGACTTAAAATGATTAGGATGTTTCCTAACCACTCCAACTATAGGATAAATATTTGCAATATTCAAATATTTAATAAATGTTATTTTTGATTGAATAAATTCAATATTAACTGGCTTTTTACCTTTTATTTATTTGATTCCAGTGGAAATTAACAATATTAATTATTAACTACCCACATGGATACTTTTATACTATTACATACTAGGAATTATCACACTAGCTTCAAAAAAGTGTTAATCATTTCAAATAAGCCATGTAATATATTTTTACAATGACAAGAAAAAGTTCATGCTTTCATTTTTTTTTTCAGTAAGTGAAAATGGTGTTAGTAAATCAACCAATGAACAAGATAAATCTGAAGAAGTTGAATCTGGTAATGATAACCAAAATGAAAATGAATCTGTCTTCAAATTAACAAGCCTTACTGATATGTCTAATTTGGTAAGTTCCTCAAATAATTGCTTATGCATATATGGTCACTACCATGCGGTATACCACTGTACAAAACTCTGAATAAAATTGAAAGAAATTCTACCTCGATTTACCAGATAATTACTTACTCTGCTGGTGCAGCAACCCAAAGTGAGTCTTGGCCTCCGACACAATATATCTTGTGCTAAAGTCACCAATAACCAAATATCAGACAATTCCAATAAGATTATCCTGTTAATATAGTCATAAAAATTTCCAAATCTTAGTTGTAAATATTATATGTTACATGTATTTTATATTTCTTGTGTTTGTAGGATTGGTCAGAAGAAGTAGAAAAAAATATAAAACTAGATGATATGTGTGACACATCGACAAGTTTTTCACAAAGTGTCAAAATGTCAGTAACAGAAGATGTGAAATTACCTGAACCCAGAGAGTCTAAACGTAGCGGAAGATCAAGGCGACGAGACAAAAGGTATAATAAATTTACACAATCTAACTAATAAATAGTTGGATGGATGTTTGTTTGAAAGTATCTCCAGAACAGCTGAACGGATTGGGCTGAAATTTCGCATACATGTAGATTATAGTCTGGAAGAACATATAGACTACTAATTATGTTTTTTTTATTTCCACGCGGACAACTAGTATATAAAATATATTAAACAAATTTTATGACATAATATTTCAACATATGATCTAAAATTGTTATCAGGAGCTCTAGCAGAGGTCAAAGGAACACTGAAAAGAAAGAGAGAAATAGAAAGGACAGTAATGTTAGCACTCAAAGTAAACCAGATTGGAACAGACGGGATAGTAATGTGAGCATTCATCATGATGTAGTACCAACAAATCTTAAGCAGAGAGAGAGGGAGAGAAGAGACAGTCATAGAAGTAACCGCTCATCCACTATCGGAAACAGTAGAGATGACCTAGACAAGTGGAGATCTCTACGGTCATACAGTAGAGAACAGAGTACAGAAAGGTATGTTATTGTGATATATTCTGAATGCATATATGTTTTATTTTGTATATTTTATTAAATTTATATTGCAGAAGAATTGTATCCCAATGTAATAGCAGAGATACATCATCTAACCGAGCATTGAGTCCAAGAGATAATGATGGTTTCAGATTACCAAAACCGGTTGCATCAATGTCAACAAGTCAGGTATACTTTGATAATACAGTTTAATTTGCCCATTACTTTAATGAAATCAAATCAAACACTTGTTTTAACTATAACTTATAAATTTTCATGTAGGCATGTAGCATAATTATCACACAACTTATGTCTGTAACCCAGAGGGTCTCAGCCGAGACCACGGACCTCCATTTGGTGTATCGCGCACTTTCCCTTTCGGGAGACCGAACATGACGGGTGTATGTTGCATCACGATGTTTTCCTTTACCGTTAGAACGTTGGACGAAAGCATAATTCTATTATTTTAAAAAGTACATAATTGAACAGTAATTCTAAATTGTTTATTTCAGAAAAATAACGGAAGCTGGTACAGTGGACGGACATCAAGTATAGAGAGAAGAAGGCAGTCTCCGACGCCCAGTACAGTGAGCAAAGAACCTATCAGTGAGGGTCACCAGGGCGGGGGAGGTCGCCGGTCCAAGAAGCGGTCGTCTCGCCGCAGAGGCAGGAACAGTGAGAACATACAGCCCGCAACACATCAACCTCCTGGCTCAACTCCTGCACCAACCAATATTAATTGGCGCGAAGAGATATTGGAGTCAAAGAAACACCATAATATGAATGATAGGTATGTTTTTTAGTGCAAATCATGATTTTTGTTTTAATCTATACTAATATTATAAAGTGGAAGAGTTTGTTTAAATGCGCTAATCTCAGGAACTACTGGTCCGATTTGAAAAATTCTTCTTTTGTTGGATAGTCCATTTATAGAGGAAGGCTTTAAGCTATATAACATTACGCTGCGACCCATTGTTTTTTTTAATTCCGCGTGGACTGAGTCGCGGGCGACACTTAGTTAATAACTTATATATGAATTAGGAAAGGAAAAAAGTAAGGTAATTCTTAAGTCTTTACATTAGAACATACTCAACCAACAAACAATAATTTCAAAGTACTCATACAAAAATGTAAAGTCACATTGCATTATGCATTGTCATTTATCAATTTATGATATAGCTAGCTGACGTTCGCGACTCGGTCTGCACGGAGTTAAAAAAAGACTAAATTAGTAGCCTATATTCTGGATTATGTGCTGGATACACCTTCTATCCATTTATTCGTATTTATAATATTAGTAAGATTCTGATAAACATTCGTTACATTAATTAATTTCAGACCTCATGATCATCAAAGAAACAGGTTGAACAGTGTTATGTCTGACAAATCTGCAACCGACACATCTAGTGGACAGCCGGGCTTAATTATTCTACCACAAAGTTCTATGTCTACATTACAAAAGGATGGGTAAGTAGAATTGCAAACATATTTTTTAAAATAATAAAAAAAATCCTTACAATATTTCTAATTTAATCATTTTAGATCATAGCAAACTTAAATGGTGTTTGTACATATATTTGGCATTGTGCCAAAGCAAACAGTCTCATAATACGTTATATTTTAATTTCAGACGCTCTGGACCTGTTGATAATCAAAAGACTCTGTTTGACCACCATAATCCATCCAAGCCTATTATTGTACAAACTAGTCCATCCAAAGTTGACATCAGAATGGAACATGGTAAGTAAAATTGAAGGAATCTCCAATAAAGTTAAAAAATTTACTTATACTTTTACATCAGGATTACTTTTTAAAATACATGCTTATATCTATCGAAATAATAATCGTCATAATCACTTTGTAATTAGTGTCTTAAACATAAATTAACACAATCCATTTTATGGAACATAATATGTTTAGTGCCACTAATTCAACTTAATAGCTCACGTTAATACGTGAAAATCGTAGTGGGATTGAATGTGTTGAAAAAAAGAAAGAGACACATATGTTGAGAAAAAAAAATATGAACAAAGTTATGGTTAATTTTATAACTAAACTTTCGTTACTAACTACTGACATAATGTTGGTAAAAAACAGAATTCTTACCACGATTAAGGGAAGTAAGCAAACAGTAGTAGTGATAGCAGAATCCGACAAAAGTTTGACTAATACATATGTAACATTTTTTCACACCATCGTACAATAACATCAGTTCGTGACCATGGCATATCCAACTGTACTAAAATATCCGGGTTTTAACCCTTAGTAGCCTGATTTACATACGAAAGTGATTTATTTTTAATATTATTGTGTTTGCTTCATAAAATAAAACAATAATGAAATTTGTTTTTTTTTTAATTTCGTTGGAAAGAATATTATACAACAGTAAAATAGGTACAGCCAACCTATAAAAAAAGTAATAGTAATGTGAACATTCGGTTTAAAAGATTGGTATCAAAATTGAAACTCTAGGCTACTAAGGGTTAAACAGCTTTATGCCGATAAGAATCCCGTTTTTTGGGAAAATGATGTATTTAGCTATGTTTACATTGTATAGGCATGAGGGATTCGATGTGTCGCGGCGGGCTGGGGGCGGGGCACGAGGCGGGCGG